ATATATCTACTTTTTGCAATATTGATTTAAAAGCTTATATAGCTCAGTGGAAAAGATGCTTTCTTGTTTACCTTGGTTCGAGTCTTTCTAAATATATTTCCCCTCCATACTCTATGGCAATTTTTTTCTCTTAAATAAAGAGGCTTGCTCTTATGTGGCTTGCCATGTTTTATGCACGTCAGCGAGATGAGCTAGTCGGTGCCATATAAGCTAGGGGTGGCAATCCTCGATTCAATTCGTTACCTGACACTGATCCAACACGAAAATAAACGAGTTTGGGTTGAGATTTTTGACCCGCCAACCTGTTTATTTCATGGGTTGGGTTGGGTTACCTGTTTGGGTTCGCGGGTCAACCCGACTTAGCATCCCCTAGCCTCTAAGAAGCCCCTAATAAAAAAGAAATTCAGTCTTCAGCCTCCAAAATCACGACTCCGTGTCTCCCTTCTCCATCGATTGAGGCATCGAGTCATCGACTATCGCAGTGTCGCACGTACACCACTCGTCTTTTCGTCCTCCGGTTGTCGCACACCACTCGTCGTCTTCACTCCTTTTTGTGACTTTATGTTGTATATTTAAGACTTTATGACTTCATTTTATTTGCATTTTTAAAATTTCATTTTAAAATGTGTTATTTCTTAAATGAGTGGGTTGGGTCCGACCCACTAACCTACGAACCTATATACTTATACGGGTTATATGGGTTGGGTTGGGTTGATGTTTTCAACTCGTCAACCGCCAACCCACCAACATATATATTATATGGGTTGGGTCAATGTATTTTGACCCGCCAACCCGTGATCCGTCAACCCGAACCCAACCCAATTCTCAGGCCTAAGCTTAGGGAGGGTGACCCGTTGTTACCTGGTAAACCGGTTAAATGGCAAAAATAACAATAAATGTGTAAATGTTTGGCATAAATTAACCAAAAATCATCATGTTTATAAAACCGACAATAAATACGAAACTTCAGGACTTTTATATTAAAAGGACTTTGTAACTATATTGACTTCATACCTTCTAAAAAATTTAGAGTAAATTACAAATTTGTTCCATGTGGAATACCCTTTACTATAGATTTTATGTATTGCTGTTTTGGTACCTGTGGTTTAATTTTCTGTTGAATTTGGCTTTTAAAACCATTTAAAATGGCAATTTTAAGGCTCCTCTGATATCTTTATGTTTTGTGTATTATTAATGGGCTCCACCGCCCTACTACCAATAGTCACACAATCAAATATATTGTTACCGGTGTAAATGGAAATGTTGGTGATCTTGTGTTAGACGATGAAATCGTGATGGAAGAGAAGGTGCCAAATAACCACGAGGATGAGGAAATGACAGAAAGTGTAGTTGATACTGGATTACTGGTTTAATATGACATTAATATAAATCATATAGCAATAAAAAAAAAAAAAAATTAAGCTCATAGGCAAAATAATCATTTTATATTAAAATATGAAACCAGAGGAATGAAAACAAGAAAATTTAAGAACACATGGACCAGATTTGTAAATTACTCAAAACGTTTATACATGGTGGCCTACAGAAGTAAATGTATAGTGAGTTGGAAAAACTTGGCCTGAAATGAGTCAGTCAACTATAGCGTGGACTTGAGTTCTTGGAAACTACTCGTATGTAAAATCAGATGTTGAAGACATGTACGTGTTAATTTTCGTAGGCTCTTGTGTGTTCATTAATAGTGATCGATCGATGAGTACATCTTGGATCTGTAGCTTTTTGTTTGGCTTCTTTCTCATCTTGTCATTCATCGCTTCTCAACCTGATAACCTTCAGGGTACAACAAATCTTTCAACAACATGGACCAACAACGAACCATGTATCCCTTCCATCAATTACCCAGATGGCTCAAGGATCAGAGTCGTCCTTGAAGAAGGCATGTTTCTTTGTGGCTTCTTCTGTAATGGAACCTGCACATCTTACCTCTTTGCCATTCTTTTTACCATGGCACGTTTTGAGGCAAATGCAAATGATGGACTTCATGCTTCAGCTTTTCTAAAAGTCCAGAATAGAATATCAACTCCTTCATCTAATGCGTTCCATACTCTTGGTCTCATAGGTGGAAGTTTTGTGCTGTTTCTTATTTTGGTCGTTGGTTTTACTACGTTCATACTTCAAAAGAAAAAAAGGGGTCGTGAAATGGAAGAAGAGCATCTAGATCAAGTGACAGGAATGCCCACTCGGTTTTCCTATCAAGAATTGAAAACAGCCACAGATAATTTCAGTAAAAAGCTTGGTCAAGGAGGATTTGGATCAGTTTTCCAAGGGACTCTTGAAGATGGCTCGCAGATTGCTGTAAAATGTCTTCAAGGTCTTGGACACGTTAAGAAATCATTCTTGGCTGAGGTTGAGTCCATTGGCAGCATTCACCATGTGAATCTACTTCTCATATGCAGAGTGCAGGAAACAACTGTTGAACATGAGAAAAGATCGAAACTCTATCAGGGCCAAGGTGAGATGGAATTAGGTTCTTGTTCTTGTGGATCAGTTATATGGATCCATCTAATGCTTATCGTTTTTTTCTTCCTTCAAGAAAAAATGAAGTGCAAGTTATGAACGTATGTATTTTCTTCCCCAATGAATAAAATGGATTTTTCCATTTCTTTATGTTTTGTCCAATCACCAGGTTAGATTATATTAACCTTTTAATATTTCATTGTTGTTCGAGCTATTATTCATTGCTTGAATATTTTGCAATCATCAACAATATAAGGTACTGGATTTGATTTACGTCAATCAGCTTAGACAACCAGAAATCCATACTCTAGCTCCTCCTTCACAAAGTTATTTAATTTTCAAATAAAGTATTCCTTCATCCCAACATTCCTCTTTGGCTTGCAAATTATGGACATAATAAAACTACAACCACCACAACAAGTAGAAGCCCTAACCTTCCAATCATGGATCCTAGAACTGTTGTAAATTGATTTTTTTTTATCGGTAATGGATCAAACTTCCAATAGTGGAACCTGGAATTGTTTATCCTTGGTAATGGATGCGAAAATTTCAGAAGCAGACATAGGAAGTGCACTTACATTATAAAAGCAGAAGCATTCTGGTGAATTTGGATCAACATTCATCATTCCAATAGCTTTGAAGTTATGTAATATTTCCCACTTGAAGAATTGGAACCATGCTGAAACAGAGCTTTTTTGACATGCTTGTTTGCAAGTCTCCGTATGTGAGATTTCCCAGTAGTGTTCGAGGTCCATTAAAAAAGACTATTCTTGTTTTTTTAATACAAAAAATACCATTAAATTAAATAATTTGTATAAAATCACCAACGAAGTACACAAAAATTCACATAAAGTCTTGTGGTAACATGAGATTACCGGTTACCTTGAATGTCCTTTATCCAGTCACATTGTTGTTACTTTCAGAACTCTTGCCTTCTTTATCACGAACCAATCCTTTCTGACTACCATTTTCTTTAGCTTTTCTTCTTTGCTCACTTTCAGATCTCCATGTTCTAAGCTCCTGTAGTCCTGTTCTACAGCAAGTTTCCCTTCCTTAGCCTTCTTAGCTTTTTCCTTCACAATCGAGAGTTGTTGACTCTTTAAAACCAAATCTGAGTTCACTTGCTCAAGGTTATTCACAGTTTTCACTTCTGATTCTTTTGCTAAATCAATCTGAGACATAGCTTTTGACACCCTTGAACTAGCTACAATCTCAGCTTCTTGAGCTTTTCGAGTCAACTCATAGTAATCCTCTAAAGAAATTGTAATTCCAGATTCTCCTTCACTCTTATTGCTTCGAGCTGATTCGGTAATGAAGTGCAGTAATTGCTCCAACGGCTAATCTTTCTGTTTTTGATGCCCTAGCTGCTTCAATCTCCCTTTGAGCACCAATCGGTCTGATTCTCATTGTATTTGCTCCAGCTTTCGCTTGATCTGCCATTTCTTTTGCTTTTTGTAGTTCTTCACGTGCTGACTTGAAAAGCGATTTAGCATGATCTGCCTCCTAGAGAAGCACCCGGATCACCTTGAACAGCCTGCATAACCCTATGATTAAGGTTCCTATTCTCTTCCCATCAGTATGGCGGAAAATTCGTAAAGAAATAAGAGATTGATACATTGTCGACATTCCAGGGATCCTTTCGATTCCTGTTGTTACCGATTTTCCACACCCAGATTTTCTTTCCCATACTTAGGGTACTTACGGGTATATTTGGATTAGATTTTTAGCTTATTGTTTATAGCTTATTTGTGGTGGGAATAAGCAATAAGCATGAGGATGAATGTTTATGAAAATTAGCTTATTTAACCTAATAAGTTGGATTTTATCAAAACATTTAAATTAGCTTATTATGGGAATAAACAATAAGCACCTATTTTTTCCTATCCAAACACCCCTTAATACACTGATCAGTGCAGAAAACCGCTCAGAAATTGAATGAAAATCAATGCAAGAAGAAATTGAATTTGAGAGAGCAGGGACAATTCAATCTAGTCATCAAAAAAAAAAATTGTAGCAACGAGGAACTGTTGCAGACGATCAAAGGAAGAGGCGAGAAGAAACGATCAGAAATCACAGTAGGAGAGGTTGAAAACGTTTGATCCCGCCGAGGTTTTACCGAAATCGCCAGAAGAGGGTTTTACCTAACATCCCCGTACATCTTTTATTATATTCCTTGAAAATAAAAATATAACCGGCTAATCTATGGTTGCCTACAATACGGATAACATGGTATTTTTAGCATTAAAAAAATAAAAAAAAAGGTCTATTTTTTTATATATATTTTTGAAACTTTGTTACTTTTTAGATCATTTCCCAAATATAAATTTTCAGAAATATCATATTATTTTGAAAAAATTAATTTTGAAGTCCTAAATTTATTTATTTTAATAGACAAGCCCAGACAAATTTATTCATTTTAGTTCTTTTTAATATTTTCAGCAGGTCATACACAAAATCTTTAATTTCCCCACAATAATGAGATTTTTATAGAAATTTCTTCAAAAAATTTATATAATGTCTAAACG